CTTAAGATTATTTTTCACAATTGATCAATTACAAATATACTAAAATTTAATATTATATAAATAGTTTAACAATTAATTGTTTATGAACACAAGCTACCATTGCTATTATGAAATGTCTGGAAAAAATAATTTTGAAACATCTGTTATATGGTAAAGGAGTGAGTCTTGACCCTACCCAATTCGCATATCAAAGTAAACAGGGAGTGAATGATGTGGTACTATGTTACCTACTTGGTATTGGTGACCACCTTAAGAAACCACAAAAACGGTTGTGAGGTCATTATTCATAGATTTTAGCAGTGCGATTAATACAATAAAACCACATATTATGGTTAATAAAATGATGGAAATGAATGTTAATCTTAAACTTATTTTATGGGTTCATAGTTTTCTCTGGAATCGAGAGAGCAACTGACAAAAGTCGAAAACATTAAATCACGTACACGTATAATTAACACAGGTGCTCCACAGGGGTGCGTGCTGTCCCCGGTTCTATTTACTTTGTATGCAGGTAATTGCAGAAGCTCTTCCCCTAGTTTAAGTATAATTAAATATGCTGACGATATATTGTCATCTGTGGTTTTGTAAAAGGAAATAATGTTTCTGATTATATGAATGATATCAAGAAGTTTGCTACATGGTGTAAGGATTACTTTTTAATTTTAATGTTAAGAAGGTGAAAGAGCTCATATGATTTCAGAAGAAATCCATCTGTTCATGATCCTGTTATAAATGATGAATATGTAGACAGAGTACATGAATATTGCTACCTAGGAGCTAGTTACGGTTGACGACAGATTGACCTGGAAGCACATTGTGCTAAATTGGCCAATAAGCCAACAGTTATATTGTATTTTCTTAGGAAGTTCAATAGTGTTTTTCTTGATAAATCCATTCTGTTGTTATTTTACAAATCAGTTTATCTAGAGTGTGCTAAACCTTTGTTTAATTTTCACTTTCGGAAACTTTAGTAAAGAAAATAAGAGGAATCTTGAGAGGATCAGACGTTCAGCTTAACCGTGCATTGACTGATATAATTAAGATTTAAACCTTATACGAACAAAATGTGCGTAAAAAACTAAATGCCATTTGCCAGATGAATCGCATTCACTCCACAGTCTTTTGTATTCATGCGCTCAGGTCTCAGAATACGGGGCCCCTCGTTCAACCCATAACTCAATTCAACTTTTTAATCAATGTGCAATAAGAACAAGTTAATTTAAGTTATGTTGGCCTCATATTGATTGTATATCTGCTTCCTTTTTCGCCGTATTTCTATTTTTTAAATTTTTTTTATTGTGAAATTTTATAATTATTGTGTTAAATTGAAATGATAATGATTAGACGGCGCTAGTGGCAATAATGAAATGATTAATAATAATGATTCATGGTAGATTTAAGTGTATTTAATTATCAAATTTTTATATGTATATACCTGATGATATTCCTTTTTGATAAAAACAATTTTATATATATTTATTTTTGTAAAGCAATTTGAATTTTGATGTAACTTTACTTTGTGTTTCCTAATTCCTTTTGATAACAATGTGAGATTTATATTTGTTGTGCGATTTAAATCATGATGTAATTATTTGATGTCTTTGTATTTTTACGCCAAATGGACCATGAATTTCCACACACAAGCTAGCATTGCAGTAGACAAATATAATTTTTTTTATCTAATGCACTTGGGCATTCTCATGAAGTTCAAGACATATTTACAGCAAACCACACAGATATTTTGCCCTCCTCTTCACGTAGACTATTAATTTATTATTTGACGAATAATTTCCTCTCGTGCCATCCAATGAAGTTAAGACTGCCGCGACGGGCTCTGTTAAGATCATACTTTATCTACATGTTGTGAACATAACAGATATTTGCCGCTTGTTTCTGATCGTCAAACCCATTAAGTTTATTGTCAATCGTATACCTTGGATTTTAAGAGTGCCCCGTTAAATCCCTTAGCGGCATCCTGATATAAATTGATGGGGTTTCACATTTAGGTACGGTTAATTAATGCACAATTATTCTATTGTCCGTTATGAATTTCCAATTCAGCTATTTACATATTTTTAGACCATCTATGTTTCAGAATCATAAGTTTGTCTCCAGTCTAGTCTGTTGTGTCATTTTATCTGATTTATTAACAAAATAAATCGAAGGTTCTGTTTGCTCTCCTGTATAGCATTACAATACCATATGTTGTCTATGTTCCTTGAATAATTGTATATCAAAATGAATTTCTGAAATCACAATTAAAGTGAATTTCTGAAATCACAATTAAAGGAACTATGAACTAGTCTTAGATTTGTGACACTATGTGATAATCAATTAGAAAACCATGGAACCTTCTCAGTTATTTTTCTTGCCATGATAATAAACTATTGAACTGAATCTCTCCTAGAGAAAAGATCAAGTAACTTACTTTATGCGATTATTTCACCAGTAGTAAACAATCTTTGTGGTATCTCAGTGCTCTTATGGGAAATATGAGCTGACTTATTACATGCTTATGTTTCACCATCGGTAAAATGAGGCATCTTTGTAATAAATAATGTAACTCGCAACTAGGTTCTTACTATTCTTGTTTTAATGGTTCATTCGTGTCAGTAGCTTTAGTATTTCAGGGAAGTGATTTATCAGTTTTTGGGTTTTTTTTGCAGTATTTACAATAAGCCAATGCATAGTTTGAATGGCACATGCCCATATCAAGTTCAATCAACTTATACATACATACACACAACATGGGTTTATGTCGATTAACCTTGGATATTTAAAACTACAAATTGGATTAATGCAAACCAATTTTGTTACCATAGACTACAACCATATGTTTCATCTCATGTAAACAGATGTGTTAATTCGTTGTAAACATTTATCATTGTTGGTTGTTCATTGCCGAGACTTACAATTACAATATTTTAATACATTTCCTTCATCATTTTTCTTGCTTATTAGTGTAGTACGGTACTGACATCAACATTTGACTCCACCCTGCAATTTATGTAAGCCTACATCTTCTGGTCAAGTTAAATTGATTTTCCATTACCTTCATTTTTTTTTTATGGTTGCCTGGATTGGCTGTCCACGGACCATTACGAACCCTACTCCAAGTTATTGAAATAAAAAAGTTACATCACATTGTAAGGACAAAAAAAAAATATACTAGTGTCATACCCTCAGAAATTTTCGGGGGCGGATTTTTTTTTTTTTTTTTTTTTTTTTTTTTGCTGACTTAGGCCTAGCCTAGGCTCTAATGTGTAGGCTTCTTAGGCCTAGAGATTTCAAAAACTGCATTGGTGCCAAGCCAAATTTTTTACAAAGGCTATTACAGACACTAAATTTTACATAAAAGATTTGTTTGTACAATATTTATTTTAATAAGCATTGTGGTTCCGTAGGCAAACTGCTGCAGTGCTAGGCTAGGCCTATGCCAGGTGGGCCGAACCGGTGGGCCTAGCCATACTTACTACTAGTTATTAGGCTAGGCCTAAAACATCTGCCAATTAAAGCGTAGGTCGTAACCTATTATTTTTCTTCATAGTATACTTTATTATTATCATATTTAAAACATTGTTTATTATCTAAAAAGAACCAAATAAAAACATGTACGACTACGATCAAATTGTCCGCAATTTCTGTCAACAAGCACAATGTGTGAGGGAATCTATTTTTTTCTGCAGAAAAAGAAAACACACTTGGTGGTGCACTTCACATCTTGTTTCCTGTGCTGAAGATGAAAAAAACGATCGTTTTTCCTCTATTAATCAGCATTTTTTAGTCGATTTTCAGCACTTTTTAACCAAAAAAAAAAAATGAGAGGCGGCTAGAAAATCCGGGTCTCGCTCGCGGTGACGCTAAACAAGTATATTTTTTTTTTTTGGCCTAATATATACTCCGAGGAATAAATTCAGTATTTGAATTGCTTAACTTTTATATAAAGGTTTTGAGCTTTCCACAGTGATAAAATAATTCACTTCGCCAATTCATGAATATGCATTAATTATGTTAATTTTATATTTTAATCTTGTCATCTTTGCATTTGAAGGATTTTTGTAGTAAAATTTCTGTAAAATCAGCAAAAATGAATTGATTTGATGATTTGTGTTTGCTTCTTTTAAATGTGTTGATTATGTTTATGCTCTATAACATGTTCTAGCTTGTCAGTAGCCATTACATCATTCATCTCCTAGTTACATATCCTTTTAAAATGTATCTAATGCCTAATTAAATCTTACATGTACAATTTTTAATGTTCTTTAGTTAGTCTATCGATGTCCTTTGAATAGGGTGTATGTAGCTGTGAGGTATACAAGGCGCCTGATTCATTATTATGGCGCGATGTCAAGTATGTTGCCTAATGTTTCAAAAGTTGATAACAAAACTGATTGTGAAACCTACATATGAACAAACTTATTTAGAAAAGAATTTAACACCTTTTTTCAATAGGTACATTACATAACTTGCGGTAATATAGAGGTGACACTTTCAGACTAATGTATCAGATGATATATAACTTAAAAATTTGAATGAATACCATATTTACTGTTTTATATTAAGTAGGAATTGTGTTAGGTGATAATTGTATCTTCTCTCTTTCAACTCAGTCAGTGACATTGCTCCTTTTTGTCTTTCTTCTAATGCTCGTCCAACTTGCGCATCCAGCCACAATATACTTTCCAATTATAGTAGAAAACCAATGCTTTATAACAATTATATAGCAGTATTTAATCTTGTGCTAAATATAGCAAATTCTGAGTGTCAAATTGCTGTATCACAGAAATTGAAATGATAAATATATTTGATAGATGAATGAAAATAAAACTGAAATGGAAAGGCGAGAAAGATCTCAGGATCGAAAAAAATATCCGATAAGTACTAGATTTTATCAGGAAAAATATGTCGTCACGGTGATTGCTATTCCATCTTGCTTACATGCAGCTTACAGTACGTGCCTCATATGCGATGACTAAATTTGGTTTTTTTGGTTTTTATAGGAGCTGGTTGGCGGGCATCAGGAACAGAGGAACTGGAAGGGGATCATTATATCTCTGCTTGTGATCATTCTCATTTGCACCATAATCATCATCTGTATCCTCATAGTCACTCCAGGTCAGTAAATTACTCTTTTATTCAGGGGAAAATAGTAGAACTCGATTGAGATACAGTCTCTAATTAATTTTGAAATATTTTAGAAATATTTTATGATAGCTAACTTTTATGTTGCTATGTTTTGCAGAAATATGACCCAAGTAAAGTTTTATGCTACATTTAGACTAAATGAAGGAATTAAATTTGGATGTATTTATTCTATTATTATTATTTTGTAATTATTTTTAAAGTCAAAAATCCAGGCCATTCCATTTATATTTTCCTTTTTGCTAACTTTCTTTTATTTAAATTACATTATATAAAATAAATTTATCAATTAATATGAAGTATATTTACTATATTGTGTGCTAATAAAATTGAAGACAAAAACTACCTTCACACTAGCAATTTTTTTTAACCTGAAAACTAAATGGAAAGAAAAATAAATTGCAATGTTGCTCTTAATAATGAATCTAAGTTTTTTAACAACATTTTTAATTACTTAAGTACTGCAAGATGGTCAAAGTATTTTAATATTCATTTTGTAATTATCTACATTTTTATTAATTTCCCAAAAGTATTTACTTTAATTTCCGATTTTTATTTATCATTTTGCTGATCTGATGATAATCACACTGCAGATGAATTTAGTTTAATTGGATTTGATTGAAGTTTCGTCGACAGGATCAATGTTCATCAGCATTACTAGATGGGATTATAGAAGATGTAGCTGAACCTATTAGTCAACTATAGCATCGTAACATAGTTTTGGATGTTTGCACGGCACCTTTTGGATTCCTTTTAATTACTTGATGATTGATACCTCAAGTCTTCTTAAGAATCTGTGATCATTTTCCCATCAATTATTGGTTGATACAGAGGGCTTAAAGAACTTGTAGAGATTGGAGTATACTTCTCATACTGTACAGTACTTCTTATAGGTTGATAATCGTACTGATGATACTATCTGGTATTTAGCAAAACTGTTCACACCAAAAAAATTTCATATTATTTTTTTTTACTTAAAGGAAATTGTTTAAAAATAAAATACTTCCGATGGTAACACCTGAAAAAAGTAAAACCCTTCATAATTGGAGTAGAGTTATGAATGGTGTGGTATTTATCATTTATGTAAACTACGAAGTCACTTAATTAAACAACAGTAAATTACATAATAAATTAAAAAGTAATATTACTCACAGATATCGTCTCATACATTTTTTCTACAAACAAGTTATTTAACAGCGTACGTGTACGGTGGTGTACCTACGCCTAGGAATACACTCCGGAAGATTTTAAAATGCTAATTTTTATAACTTATGATTTGAAAATGAAGGTAAACTTATGATGTATGGTAAATAGGTTATTTAATATTTGTGCCTTTCCATAATAAAACGGGATGATTCAATATAAGTTACAGAAATAGCAATATTAAAAGGTACTACAAAACTCAGCACTAGAAATACAACAAAATTGCCGATCAAGATTTGTTTGTTTTTTTTTCTCCCTATTGCTCATTGTAAAGGATCAAATACCATCAGAGATTGATACAATTCAATGTAACATTTATTAACTTCCTTTTCCCCAAAAAATATAACTGACAATGATCATTTGTATTATATAATAGTAAGATAAGTAAGATATGCAACAAAAAAGGAAGAAGTGCAAAGACCCAAGAAGATAAGAAAACAAAGATTTTTCACTCAAATAGATAAATAGCCAAATTTAGAAGGCTTTATGTAAAGAATATGTATGATTAATATAGAAATATATTTCTATGCACCTGTTAATAGGAAATATTTTCTCATTTCTAATTTTCAATAGAAATCTATACATTACTTTATACAAAGCATGCGATGTAAATATTGAATTTTATTTGTTGTATTAGCTCAGTACAACAACATTGTACCATCAGAAAATATATTCCAATTTATCACAAAGTGCCTGAATAATTAGGACTCATAAATTTTATAGTGCATCTTTTTATGAATTATTCAAGATTTTATTTTTCAGTCGCACAGAATTACAATATGAAATCATATGACATGAGAATTTTTGGTTGCATTTCTCTGAAATGTTGTTTGATAGAGACTCATATTTTTCTTATTGTGTCTTTGGTCAATTATCTCTTTTCACTCAGTAGTATATAAACTAATAACAATATAATGTGGAAATGTTTAATGTATTAGTCTGCGCTTAATATATTCCTGCCTGATTAGAAACATACCCTAAGGAACAGTGGATTATTGAATACTTGTACTTGTGCTCTTATGTTTAGGTCATGTGACCACAAATACTGATGTTGTGAAGTGCTTTCACTTCCTCAATTACTATGTTACTAGCTCAATTCGGTTGGCATAGTGGTTGCGATTCTGGCCCTTGTAAATCTTGCTGGTAAATCTTTAGGCAAATACATTTTATCCAGGTATACCACGCTACCTGTAAATTGGATAATGTGCAGTAATTTTTAATCTAAGTGAGTAGTCTGTGCAGAAAAATATTCACAAGGGAGCAAAGGAAGTTGAGTATTTATGTGTCAATTATAGATTAAAATGTGGTGCTTTCTTTTCGTCTTCATTCTACTTTTCATTTCTTTTGCTTCATCTCATTCTTTTTGTCTAGTCATGTCTGGGCATATTCTTTTTTTTTCTTGTCTTTCCTTTCTTTTCATCTTGTATTTTCTTTTCTTTTTCTATTAGTTCTTGTAAAAATTTATCTAAAATAGTTGTACTTCGATGACAGTTTGCTCAATAATACCATTTTGAGTGATTGTGATGGAATAGATGAAAGAATCAAGTGAAAAACCAATCTTTTAATAAGGTTACTGTATTCATGATCAATATTGGTTGTTTATTAGGCAAACAGCATTCAATTAGCAGAGACACCAGAGAATCATCTATGCCACCTTCTCATTTTCGCCTCCTCATTCTTGCCTCCTCATCCTCAAGTGATACTAATTAGGTCTTCATGGACACCTGAAGAGGATTCAGGTGTCTACATAATAGAAAATGATTTTGTAGGCTGCTGAGAAATTAATTCATTAAAAACTTATAAAATTAATTCACAAAAAAAGTGATACAAAAAAAAACTTTTGATATCAAATTTAGAAATTGATTGATATAATAAAGTATTTGCATCTGATATTAGATAAGAATAATAATAATTATAATAATATTAGTAATAATTATAATAGAAATAATTATATATTAATGATTATAATAATAATCATAATATTAATAGTATCACTAATAATATTCCAAATTTTATATAGCGCATCGTGCCAGCAAATGCCTCAATGATTGATTTTGATTTCATTTATTTAGTAATATATTTATGACCACTCACTTAATATATTACTTTAAATTATCAATTTTCAATAAATTAAAAATATAGTTTCCAATAATGGATGGCATACAGATATTTTTACAGATAGAAACATACCAATGTCATTATGAAGAAAGGTTTAACTCCTGAATCCTGACGACCTATGGAGCAGAGAGATAGATAAGAACCCAAATTGCTATTGAAAGGAAAATGCTACATCTCTCACTATGGAATAAGGTGAGACACACAAAAACAAGAAAAATAACCAGAGTTAAAGATGTTATGGAGAAGATTATAGAAAAATGAATGGAGGCGACAAGACACCTTTCACGAATAGAAGACAATAGATGAACTAAGAGCTAACAATTTGGCAACCAAGAACCACCGGGAAAAGAAGGAAAGGAAGACAAAAGAAAAGGTGGAGGGATGATATCACCACATGGGAACAACAAACTGGGCAAGAGCGGCAATGGACAGAAATAAATGGAAAATGCTGGGGGAGGGCTTCACACAGCAGTGGGTGAAACAGCTTGATGTGGCAGTATATCTTTAATTCCTCATAGCTACTTCTAGGCTTGATGTTATCCAGAATCCATTTACTTGAGACCTGGTTGGTCCACCGAAATGTCCTCTTTCTACAATGATTGGAAGAAGACATGCCATATCTAGTGTGTCCAGTCCATGTGCTGTTATTTAAATATTCCTTTAATAATGATCTCATCACCAGTCCCTCTAAAAACTCCCACCTTTGTCTTTACAAAGTCTTTACTCCTTGGTCAGAGTATATTCTATGCTCTCCTCTTCTCTAGAGATACATTAAATGCTTCAGTTATTTTAAAACTGCTTTCTTAGTTTTCATGTCTCTCAAGGCATACAGTGCAACACTTCAGATCAGTGACTTTACTAGAACTAAAGTTCACTTGAAGAAAATTGGCATTATAGAACCTTTAGGACATATACTTGCATGTTTAGGAATTGAACCTTCAAAGTATTAGCGCATGATCTATAGATTAATTCTGATCTCTGATGGAGAAGTTTGCTAACAACGTTTAACTTGGAGACTTTTCACTAACCAATAAGATCTATAAAAAGGTTTACAATAAAAGTATCTATAAGCCATTATAATCCTCATTGCATTTTATGGATTTGTCAAAATGCAACTCTGCAAAACTATTGGTGCATTTTCACTTTTCGTCTTAATGCCTGCTGTTTGGGTAATATTTCAGACATATACGCAAGTCCAGAAGAGAAATCTCATTTAGCAGCCGGTGTGACTAATTGGACATCAAATAAGAAATTTGGATAGCCAATAATATACTTGCAGAATGAGTTTAACTGGTGTCCAATTTATCATAATACATATGACATCGCATTCAAGTTCCTTTGCAAAGTTCGTTTCTGGCTTCTATTTGTGGATCTGTGACATTTTAAAGTGAATATATTATATGATCCTATGAAAGTTGAGAATGCCATCATTTAGAACTAGTTATGAGTCATAGTTTTACATCTTTCTAGTCTGAAATTAATACATAATCCCTTCCAATATTCTATCAAAGCTCAAAATATATAGTTGCATCATCATCATCATCATCATGTTCAATCAATATTTCATTTAGTTAATATTCAATATTCTGTTAAATTGAATTGAACTTAATTAAAATTTATGGGTAACTTCAGGACAAAATACATAAATAATT